GCGTTCTCGGCCAGTGCTGTACCATGCTGTCAGGCCTGCTACGTCGTAGGAGTCAGGACACAAAAGCCGGCTGCCAGGTGGTGCAGAGGTTGCTGTAAGGCCGTAGGGGAAAATTTGGGCGACAGCTGCAATATCAAGAAAAGGGGTCATCTGCAGGCTCGCGAAGAGGAAGATTCCTGTGTTACTCGAACGTGCAGAGGGCAGATTTGCGGCCCACCAGAGTACCGGGGTTTGAAGTGGTGATGCGAGGCTCTCGGCCGTGGCCCTGCGGTTTGCTCCGGTTGGAGATTTGTCGAGATGGAGGAAACGAACTGATGACGGGGGTTTATCCAGCCATGTAGAAGATTTGCCTAGCCCAAGACCGTCGAGTTCAAGGAAGGCGTGTGAGGTGAGCGGCGTATGTGACGAGGAAGTGGTTTGCGGCTGTTGCTTGGGACAGAGATACATTTGACATGGCGGAAATAGGCCCCCAAAGAGGATCGGATAACTGGTGCAATTGGAAAGTGCTGGAAATATTGGCTGGTGTAGAGGCAGGAGCCACAATTTGAGATGTGACGAGATGTAATCCGGGGTGAAGGAAACCGAACAGACAGCTGCCAGGCCGGAAGAAAAGATCGTGGAATCGGTGGACGTTGTCTGCGCAAGCCAGCTAGCAGCAGTGTTTTCCAGGTTGTCGAGGCATGCGTGCCTCGATTTGCGTGTGGGTGTATCTGTACGTGTGTGGTGTGCGAGTGTGCTGGCCGTTGAATGCAGAGGTGAGGTGTCCTGGCCCTGGGCCCCTTGCCCGCGCATCCGTATCCGCATCTCTGTTCTGCCGCTCTGCCTGAAAGGCAGCTAGCCCTGCGAATGATGCATTGTGGACATTTGAAAGACTCCCATTGGGTTCCCAGAGACGTATCCGGTGCATGTGCAGCTGAATATGCAGTGTGCGTGCTGCGGCAGGCGGCTGCGAGGAGCAGGAGCAACAGCAGCCCAGAGCAGAAAGAAACGAGTCCAAGGCGCTCCTTCCTGTCGTACACTGCCCAAAAAATGGCCAGGTCAAGTGAGCAGGTGTTGGTGAGGTAAGGAAGCCGCGTGTATTACTAAGTCCCGTCGAGGAGGAACTGAGGAAGCTGCGGTCTGCAACCATGGATGGGAAACTGCAACTGCTACTGCAACTGCAAGTGCGGTCTGCGGTCTGCGATACAGCCGATACTTGGGTGGGTACGTCTTCCTTACCAGCGTCACTGACCAGCTGCTGTGGGCTGCCAGAGGTTTAAGTGGTTGACAGGGGTTCTCTGGACGCACTGGTCCACAGACGATCCAGTCATTATTTCGGGTCGTTGAGATACTGGGCTGTCCCCGAAGCCAAGTGGAGTGGGGTTACCATGGTGCACCTCTGCAGTTTGGTGTTTCCGTTTCTGCCAGCACAGGGCTTCGGCGGAGAGGTACCGGGCCAGACGATCGTAAAGAACAAGACACAAAAAGAAAAGGAGACCACTGGCAGTGTTGGAACCCAAGGGCAAGACGCGCAGGGGAAGCCAAAGGAACGACGTTGGACGAGTATGGGAATGCCCGGGAAGAACAAGGACGCGGACGGGAACTCAAGACACGCAGAGGTACCGACACAGTGAAGTCGAAACGGCGCTAAGGCAAGAACTTGAATGGAGATTTTGATGGGAACTGGGCATGTAACTGCGCTGTAGGTAAGGTAGGGTACTTGAACAATAGTACCGTACCTTACCCGCGACTTTTTGCCTATCGTCTTTTATTTTTTATTCCTCCCGTCTTTGTAGACCTGTGGGTGCTGTCTCTGCCCTGCGGGACGGTTTCCTCCTTACCCCTTGGAGACGAAGCATGTTTGTCTCTGTCAACCAAAACTCCGTCATCGTTCTCGCCCAGGTCCTTCGACTCGGACTCGTGCCTGGCCGGAGACATGAATCTGAGATCGATCCAAGGGGGGCGGCGGGCGACGAGACTAACAAGACCAACAAGACCAGGTAGGGAATTTCTCCATCTCAATCTCGCGGTGCTTCTCCAGTGGATCGCCCGTCGACATTGACTTCGCCCTGGTTCGCCCACGAACTCTGCTGATGGGTCACTGTGAGATTATGTTCAACTGATTGCGTCTTTCCCACGCGATGTCGAATCCTAATTATCCCCGACAACCGCATGCTGGCAATAGCGTCTGGCGACTGGCCACAGGCGACAACCGACGTCGAAATCTCGTTTTTGGAGAGCGCGGACAGGGAGCCGGTCAGTAACAAAGAAGCCCTCCACAAGCTTCCTCGGCTTTTTTTCTTCTTTTTATCGTAACACGCCCCCCTCTCTCACCCCGTTGCGGGGTTCACTCCTCCTTCGGAGATACTTTGTACTTACTGTAGCGCTGGTGAAGGTCCAAGCCGTTTAACGACGAGATATCAGATGAAGGAAACGGGTTGGAAAGCGACAGTAGGAAAGGAGAGAATCGGTACTGCACAGTAGGCGGGCTTCTTCAGCTATTCAAGGGCAATCCCGAAATGCAAAATGATTAGACTGGGCAGCAGGTCGGCAGAACGCGATTCACATTCAACCGTTCCCTACCGACTGGCTGTGCTGTGGTACGTGCCTCTGAAGGAAGTGTCTTGTCTCATGTCGTCTCGACTTGCTTGTGTCCGGGACACCGTCTCCCTCGCCGTGTGTGGGATGTCGGCGAGTAATCACCAGACACTTTCAAAATTCTTGGGAGCACGGAGTCAAAAAAAAAAAAAAAAGGGAGACGGAAGCCCAGTATTTCGGAGAGGAATCCGGGGGCAGGCGACGGTTCTCGGCCAGTCAGTCCAGTCCTGTCCAGTCCAGTCTCCTGGGGCCTTGTCTGTCCGCCGTTAAGCCGGCCCAGGTATTTGGTTCAGAGTATGCAGGCGACAGGAGGCAGGTAGGAACCTACCTAGGTAAGCAGGCGTGCCGGAAATAGAGATGGGCTTTTGAAAATTTGATCCGAGTCATCCAGATAGGTATTGCAGACCGTGGTGAGGCAAACATCACGCACAAGGAGAAGGAGATTGAACGGCGCTCTTACACACATCTCACCACCAACACCAACACGGCTCCAATGAAGCACGAAGACCTCCCCAGCCTGATGCAGTGCTAGCAGGTCCTCCTGTTCGGCCACCCCCACCCCGTCGTCGTCTTCTTCCCCTTCTCCTCCCGTGCCAGCGCCGCCAACGCCTACTGCATGCTAAGGTACATAGCGTCCCGTTCATCGTTCCTACCCCCTCCCTTGCCCCCCAAATCCCAGTCCCAGTCCCAGTCCCAGTCCCAGTCCCAGTCCCAGAATCTACGAATACGTCCCCAGTGTAGCCGTCCTCTGTATGGTGTGTGGTGGTGTGTGTGTGTGTGTGTGTGTCCCCGTCGGTCCCAGGCCGCTCTTTCCCGCACCTGTTTCGGTGCACACCCCCTTCCCCATCCACATCCCCATCCACATCCACACGTCCCCTTTCACCTTCGAACTTCGACTTCGACTTCCACGGAATTGACGTCTGGTGTGGGCGTTGTCCACTTTGCTGTGAGTGAGGTGGGAGGCAAGTGTCCGGCGCGCTCTGCTCTGCTCTGCTCTGCAGCTGTGTGTGTGCTGTGCTTGGCCCTTGCCTGTCTGCCCCAGCGTCCTTTCCCTCGCGGTGCTAGTGCTCCTCGCCTTCCCGGTTGGCACCTCACCCACCCCCCTCCCCCCCTTCCTGACCTCACCTTACCTCCTTCCTACTACTGCCTCCTGCCTGCCCCTACGAATACCTATGTACCTAGCTACGAATACCCAGCCAGGCAAGTACCCTACCTACGCAGTAGGAAGGCACCTCACTCACCTCCCGTTGGTATTCTCCTCCTAGACCTCCACTCTTTCCTTGGCTGGAGTCCTGTTGCTGCCGAACTCCAATTGCAGCGCAAGCCTGCTCCGTCCACGCAGCAGCGACTGCCCTTTCTGCCTTCCGCGTTGGCTACCTGCGGTTCCTGAGGTGGGTGTCTGTCCACGACTGAGGTGTCCGGTGTGGTGTGCGTGTGTTGTGTGTGCCTTCCCTTGCTCTCCCACTCTTTTTTTTCTCACCTCTCGTCCTTTTTTTTCTTAATTCCTGCCACCTGGGATCGGTTGCACTAGCAAACAAGAGTCATCATCATCACTCTCTTTGTGGCTTTCTCCCTGCCCTGCCCTCCTCCTGCCTGCCTCAAGTAACGCATTCCCTCGCCACGGTCTGAAGGACAAGCAAGCATCCGTCTGAAAAAAAGGCCAACCCTCCCAAGCAAGAGAAGAAGAAGCACCCACTGCCGCCAAAACTCCAGCCAACCTGGCCGCACCGTACCGCACCGCACCGCCCGCACCGTCTCATTAGGCATAGACCCGACTCGACCCGCCAGTTCGCCGCCGTGTAGTGTCGCTTCCCACACACTCTCTTGTCGCCCGCCCCAAAACGCACACGTCGTCGTCCTTGCCGTCGCCGCCACCTTCGTCGACAAGTTTCCGACTCCTTCTCAAACTCCGAAAACCATTCTCTCGCACGCGCGCATTTGAAGCCAACCGTCTTGTTTCCTCTGGTCCTGTTCCTGGCGTCTGCAACATCGCCGGCCGTTGACTCGACATTTCCGCGCAACGACATCTGGAAACAACCCCGTCCCTCTTTTTTCCCCTTTGGTGAGTGGTTTCCCTGTCTGTTCGTTGCGACCCCCCGGCGCAAAAAAAGCCGCGAGACATTTAAGCGCGGCGCCGCCCATACCCAGAAAATTTATTTTCCCTGTCCCTCCCCGTTGGCCTCTCCCCTGACACCACGGCGCCTTCCACCCATCCATTTGCGACACCGTTCTTCCAAGGCTTCCCATCCGCGCCTTCGGCCCCGAACGTCGCTTTGAGACTATCTCAACTAATTCGACTTCGAAGAACAAAGACATAATCGAGTCCAGCCTCCTCTTCGGTCTCCGAGCCTCAAATCCCTCAGACAGACCCGTCAGCGGCCTTCCGGTTTCACCTCCAGCGAAGCACCACCAGCACCGCCATCATGTCCTACTACGAGAACAACCCTCAATGGTCCAATCCCGGTCAGAACAATTGGGAACACCAAGCGCCTCCTGTCCGTGCTGGTGAGTCGGCCCAGTCGCAACATCGCCAAATTCAACAACAATCGGAAACCGGAATTGACTCGAGGTTCCCGTCAACAGGTGCCAGCGGCCCCACGGCTCAGGACGACTTCGCATTCTTCTACCAGTTCGAGGGTAGGTCTACTGTTCTCTCCAGCGCGTGGCCGACGGTCAGCCCGGCGCGAGTTTCTCTCCGGACTCTCGCCCGGCAGGCGTCGCGCGCAGGAAGACCCAGCTGACGAGATGATACTTTAGATGTGGTACGGACACTGACTGCTAGGCCTACAGAGGTTGATCGTGCATACGAGAATCTCGCCAAGAGCGGGAAGTCTTACGGAATGGGCGGTCGACGTGAGTACCCAACCCCTGGCGGCCCCAAGATGGGCCCTGCTGGTCCTGGTCCCGCCAGAAAGTCTCTCGACTTCAGTAAGTCTGCTCGCACTTGGCGGGCAAATCCGCGGCCTTCCCCTGCTGACGCAGACCTCACAGCCGGACGCATGGGAGCTGGAGCTGGAGCCGGTCCGCGACCGCACTCGATGAACCAGTTCGATGATGCCCGAGGCCACCCGAACTCGAACCTCCAAAACTTTTACGCCTCTCAGCGCCACCAGTCCTCCCGAGGATCCAACGACGCGGAACAGATGATGCAGGCCAAGAGAAGGATGGCCGCTCAACGGGAGCGGGAGCTGCGCAACCTCCACACTGAGCAGCAATACCAGCGAAGTAGGCCGCCCTCTACTGTATAGCACACAAACTTCATTGTCCACAGGGGAGACAGCAAAGAAGAAGAAAAAATAGATAATTCAGGCCGAGGGGTTTCACCATCATGCAACATCCTGCTGCCCCGTCATGTTACTGTCGAGAGATGTCTCCCTGAAAGACCTTCCTGTCCCACCCCTTCACGTAAGACATGGGCAATTGAGAGGACTTTAGGCTAACCACAACGTGCGCGCAGCTGTCGTTTCTGACATCCCCTACGGCAACAAGGCCATGTCCGAGGAGGAGACTCGCGAGCTTATCGCTCGGCAGCGGAGCGCCTTGTACGGCGAGGGTCAGTTTGCCGAGAAGGGAGGCTACGTCGACGAGACTGGCGCCGTGCGTCCTGGCGTGCCTGGACACAGTGGTCCTTCCAGCCTGCGGGGCCAGTCGCCCTTGACGTACGACATCACCCGCGGTCCCCCTCCTCACGGTGATGCCAACACGCCCGTCTCGGTGACTGACGGCCCCGGTCCCATCGCTGGTCCCCCGGGCGAGCAAGGCTCTCGTGCTGGCAGCACTGCCAGCCCTCAGCCGAACGCTCCTAACAACAAGAGCGCTTTCGAGTCTGCTGTGAGCCAGGCCGCCGCCCGTACCAACAACTCTTCCCCTGGTGGCTCCCCTCCTCGCCAGGAGATGCCGGGATCCAAGCCGGCCCAGACGGTTGCTCCCATCGGTACTCGTCCCTCCGGCACCCCGACTGGTGCCTCGAACTCGTCTTCGAAGCGATCCACCACCCCCCTCGCCTCTCCCGGCGGTTGGGGCCGTGGCAATGGGGTCTGGGGCCCTCAGTCCTCCGGACTGAGCCAGCCTCCTGCTAGCGTCTGGGGTTAGGAAACCCAGACGCCCAATCCAAAGACCCCTCCGAGGAGACAGCGCCGCGGCGCATCTACAGACTGAATGAAAAAAAGGGGCTCGATGACTTAACCGTTTACGTGGGTGGTTTTTTAGTTTGTTTTCGGTCTGGATTGATTTTCTCCTCGGACACGGAAAACTTGATATATACCTCGGGCTCAACACGGTATTCGGAGTGAGGGTGTCTTTTCGGCATCTTTTGAGGAGTTTTCTTTTACACGAACCGCATTCTGCAATCACGGAGTCGAAAGTATTGCTACGGGAAAAGGAGATGCATGTCACATGGGCGTGGACAGGGGTTTTACACACGAGTTGGCTTCGGGTTTGACACAAGCTTCGGCGGGAATATCGCAGCGTCTGGGAATGTTTCGGATGATCTGGGAATTCTGGCGAAGGCGAGCACGGAGCGGGAACGACATGTTTTTTTGGTTCTTGGGAACGTTGTCCTTCGGAGCTGGGCATGGGATGAATTCGGGTGCCAAAAAGCGACGAAGGGCAACCTTATGATTCGAAATTGCGAGCATACATCGGCGTGGGCGTGGATCTCGATACTGGTTTAACTCGAATGGGTTGGGAGTGGGAAACGCACATCCGGGGAGTTGACACAGCACACAGAGACAACTCTCTCTTCACGCGGCGATAAAATCACAAAAAACAGGGGTTTGGGATACGGGGTGTTTGTGGGTTGTCATTTCTCATGGGGGGATATTTTCCTTTTCTTTACTCTTTTTTCTCCTTTTCTGCTTCTCGGGGTTTATCACTGGAGGTCGCGTCGTGGGGAGTTTTCTGCCTTTTTTCGGCACTCGAACGGGATCTCGAACAACGGGAGACCACACCGAGTCGTAATAGGGTTCTCGCGCCTTTATTGAACTGGGAAACGAAAGGGAACTTGACTACATCAAGACGGGGTTCGGGGTGGATAGATCAACATCGGATGCGTTGGAGAGGGACGGACTCGGATGCTACTCTTCGCACGCTTTGCTCTGAGGTTGGAGCAGGCAATCTAATGAAAACAAACATGCTTTTTTTGTCCCCCCAAATTCTGTCCCGTCCGCGTGTTCATCTTGTAAATTTGGCTCTATGGCGACATTTTCCGTCGAGTCAATGGTAATATGACATTTGAGAAATTAGCTAGTGGGTGGTGTACGCGGATCAGAGTCTGAACCCGCGCGCCCCCAAGGGCCGAACCTTGAGTCTCGGGGCGGAACCTTGGACGTTGCGTTGGTACGGCGTGAGGTGTTATCGCCCCCCTCTCTCTCTCTGGGCTGGGAGAGTTTTCCCGAATGGCGAGGTAGAATTTTTTTTGCTACTGCCAACTCTCTCCGGGATGGCGGCGGGCTCGGGACTTGCCTAGCTGGTTCCGTGTCCATGGCAGATGGGAGGAGGAGGAGGAGGGAAAGTGTAAAATGTGTTGGCACGGTTGGTTATTGGGCCGTGAGGACGCCGAAGAGGTCTGCCTGCGGCTGTTACCGCGGCCAGACCCAGGGCGGCCGGGTCGGGTTGGGGCCCGACCCGAAATGTAGTCACTGTCACGGATGGGATTCGGTGTATGCAGTTTTGGCCTCATCTTGTGTAGAAGTACCTCTATGGGCCGCAGGTTATTCGACCGTGGATTTTCGCCAACGGGCCTTGGTTCAGGTTTGGGGAAGGGCGGGAGTACGGAGTAGAGTACCTAAGGTAGGTAGGAGAAAGTTGGATCGAAACACTGACCTCGCCGCGACCCGGGCGGTGGTTGCTTGTGGCTTGCGGTCCGCGCCGCGGGATGGGGAGGGGAGGGGGAAAGGCCCGGGCGCAGGATGTGTGGCCGGGCGGACCCCCACACTTTTGTTCTTGTGCGTGTGTGTGGCTTGGAGAAATGGGTGGGGGATTAAGAGGGGGTTTGTTAAGGTAGGCATTTTAGTTTGGCCACATGGATTATGTTTATTGAGGCGTTTTTTGTTTCTATTTGTGGTGATGACGTCTTTGACAGGTTGCTTTTTTTTCGACGCAGTGAAGTCACTTCGTGCGGGTCGGAGGAGAAGAAAAGTGTTTGGGATGACGATTGAGGCGTTTTTGGCCTGCGTGCGGAAGCGAGGAGAGAAAGAGAGAACCTTGACGGATTGGCGATGTTGTGGCCTGTCTCTCCCAGACGGCAGCAGCCCATCAGGGTTCGCGGGTTTCTTCTCTGGCTGACCCTTTAGCATGTGATGGCAATATAGACCCATGCTTTGTTGGAATACTAGGTAAGGTGGGCTGCCCTGCGAGGAGATTTTGAGTTGAGCATTGTTCTTTCGGGACGTACTCTCCAGCCATAGAGAGAGGAGGGGGCCTCAAGCTGGAGTTCCAACTGGCGTTGGTTTACATCTGGACGCCGGTACGATGTAGGATATGTCCTAGTGACTTTGACTTTGTGTCACTGTTTGGTTCCTCGTTGTTTGGGAAGCTTGGGGCTACGTAACTGAGTAACAGGGAGGATGGGACCAACACGAGAAAGGCAACAAGCCAATAGCTGTTGAAGTTCAAGACGGGCTAGTCAGTCTCGGAGAATCAAGTGTACGAAGCGTATGTTGGATGGTCAATATGTTGGCTTTCGGCGTGACTCAGATGTCAAATCTGGGCAACTCCGTTGCACAAGGTGATTGGTATCGAATATCGTCCAAGGTGTCTTGTCACAGTGGACCAATATCCAACCAACGAGCTCTAATAAAGTCACTTGTCGACTTGGCGGTACGCCTTACAAAGCTCTCTTGCAGACAACCAACTCCTCCGGACCGACGCAAACCAATCAAGTTACAAGAGCATGGTCTCACTGACCAACATAATAAGACTAGTAGTTGAACTTGCACGTTCCAACCAACAGCTTAGACTTGACTAAAGTTTATTTCCAACTAGCAAGAAAACAAGACGCTATCCAACATGAATCGCCACCAACCCATGCGCCTGTACCCCTCAAAATAAGTGTATCAAACGGATCCCAACGCCGAGCCGTTCATCGTCCAACGGCCTCTTCACAACCCCAGCGCCGCACACCCAGCACCCAAGTCCATGGGATCGTCAGCCCTCAACGCCTTGCCGCCCCAGACCACCGTCCCCCGCCCGTCGACCGCAAACGCGCCCGCAGTCTGCCACTTGTTCCCCATAACCGTGCTGGGCCCCTCGACCTCGGCCGGCACCCCCTCGGCCGCAGGATCCGCGGCCGCCGCGCCCTTGCCACTCGCAGACGTCCCCCTCCTCTGCAGCGGCGGCGCAGCAGCAGACGCCCCGCTCGCCGACGGCCCGGCCGCTCCCGTCCGCTGGATCGCGCCCGCGACCTTCTCACCGAGCCACCCCTTCTCCTTGAACCCCTGCATCTGGCTCGTGGGGTTGAAGACGTACCAGACGGACCCGAGGCCGAGGCCCCAGGCGGCGTAGATGGCGCGGTCCTCGTCGATGACGACCTGGACGTTCCAGGCGCCGCCGAGCAGGTCCACCCACTTTTGCGTAGCGGCCGCGGAGGAGTGGGAGACGGCGATACAGGTAAGGTTGTTTGCGTGCTTGTTGGCGAGTGTGCGGAGGGCCAGGAAGGTCTTTTGCGCGACTGTTGTTGGAAGAGGTTAGTTAGCATGTGATCTTTCAGAAATATGTCGAATGGGATCATCCCAACAAGAAGGGGGTGTTGGTTGGGCTGCATATGTAGGTGACGGGAGCAAGTATGCAGGTCGCGTAAGGGAAGGGAAGGGTCTGTGTAAATGCGGTAAAAGACAGATCAGACGTACAGGCACAGCCGACACACCGCAGGAAGACGACGAGCACCGGTCTGCCGCGGCCGAACTCGAGCTTCCTGTCGCGGTCCAACGGGGCGAGATCACCGATCTTGGGCGCGTCGGCGACGGGGACCGGGGGCGGGGGCGGGGAGAACCACGGGGCGACGGTGATGGGCAGGGACTTCATCGACATCCACGCCGGCCAGCCGCCGTTTGTGTTCTCGGCCTCGACGTCATCCAGGCCCGCGTTGCTCCCGCTCTTGGACTTGGAGTCCGTGGAGCCGCCGCCGCTAAAGTCGAAGGACTTGCTGTTGAGGCCCACCTTCTTGAGGGCCATCTTGGTTGTCAAACTTGCCAGCATGATGATGATCGCGTCACAGGTGTAGACGTGGGAGGGGTACGGACGGCTATGCGTAAAGTGGTATGTTACAGAGTGGAAGAAAAGAAACGGCTCGCAGGAAGGAGGACCGGCTGCTCAAGAGTTGATGTGCAAGGATGGAGCAGGTTGAGTCGAATGCTGTTCGACAATGCAAGATGCACGATTGAGTTCGCAAGAAGGAAAATCAGAGATGCAGAGCAGTGAGAAGGAAGGAACAGAGACGGAGAAAAGAAAGGAGAAACGTGGCCGACATGCTTATGGCGGCCATCGGGGCGGGATGGGATCCAATGCTCATCCAAGGAGGGGGGAAGCTCTGGCGAGCTCCTGAAACTTTCGATACAGGGCGCGTCGCATGTTTTGTTAGCGACGCTGCGCTCTGAGCTCCTGAAAACCACGGTTTCGCGAGGCTGAAAAGAACCGGCCCAGCCATGGCGCTATCAGGCACCCTGACAACTGTGTGCCTCTGGGAATGAGACAAAAAAAAACCGTGAGGAGTTTTCCTTCCGATTGGTCGTCTGATCGTGCGGGGGGTTTGGAGGTTAGATTTCAGCCTCGGTGTCCGGTATGTGTGTGATGGTGTAGCAAATGTTTCCTTGGTTCCCAGGATTCTGGGATCCGCGCCCTGCGCCGCTTGCCTGCGTAATGAAGGGCGTTGACTTGGGAAAACGAAGGAGTGAGGGAAAAATAAGAAACTGTCAATTGGTTCGTTATCCTCTCAATTAAAGATGCGGGGGCATGTCTTGTCTAAAAAGCAGTTGAGATTTCTGGCAACGCCCTCTGTCATTTTTTTTGCTTTGTCGTATCTTTCAAAATGGGGCATTTTACGAGCAATGGATGCCAGTGACCAACTGCCAAAAGCAGGAATACACTCAGAGAAT